GTAGTGTCCAGGAAGTGGTGGTTTTCATCTGGAAAGCGTTCGCCCTATGTGAAGCCACATTTGTCCAAGTAACAATACTGTGACATGGCTGATGTGATTCCACGCCGAACAAATTCACTACCATTTGCTTCATTCTGATGAAGCACGGTATTTCAGAAACCTGCTTCTGACTTCATGGGGAGGATTGGGCGCCTGTTTGGCTACCGAGCAAAATGAAAAGCATAAGTATTACGCAAGCAGTCACCGGATCCTTGCGAGTAGGCTATTCAGTCATAGCCTCGGGATAATGTCTACTGAGACTAGTCCGTACTTAGTCCTGGGCAATATGGTAGCATCGCGCCCTCTGACGAAAATTTAGAAAACGTGTGTTGTGTGGGGTTTAGTTCTAACGTATACTGTACCCTAGATAGTTTTCCATGGTCTATGAGGTTTCGATCAATCTCCATATATATATATATATATATATATATATATATATATATATATATATATATATATATATATATATGTCAGTTCGTATATATATATATATATATATATATATATATATATATATATATATATGAGAAGTGGCAAGCACCGATGGGTTGTACACCATCGACATCAAGCGCATGGTGCTGTAGCACATGCAGTCGCGAGTGCCTGAGTCAGGCAGGCTTAGTGAGCCATGAGCGAGGCCACTCGGGACCACTACCGAAGCGACGACGGGTCCTGCAGAGAACGTAAGCAGAACCGGCGCAGCGGTTGTAGGTGCGCTGCATTCGATTCACTAACCGCGTGCTTTCATACTAAGTCTCTTTATTTCAGGTGGTGGGTTTTCAATTTTGCTTAATGCTTTTCTTTCTCATATAAATGTCTACCTGTACTCTATACCATCAACTTGCACAAGTCGCTTAAGCCAACTGTAGCCGATTTCCATAACATCTTTGTGTTCGTGGCATTTCCTTAAAGTATATTTTCTGACCTCGTGAACTTATCTAGGATTAGTTTGTAAACAACTTATTTCATATGCTCATTAACCTAAGATTTATGTTACCGTTTCCTTATGCATTAATCGAGTTATTTTCTTTGTATCTCTCTCTAAATTGATTGGCTGTTAGTTGATATCCCCGGTGTGGCTGCGCTTGATGTGCATGTTGACAAGGTGCCTACCTTTCTATTACCCACCACCTAGTCCATACTGGCTCCAGGAGACAGTTTGTCGTTGCTTGAGGGGACTGGGTGCAAGGTCCTTGTGGCCGTGTTAGGACCAAAGAGTGGTTCCATGCACTCAGTGTGGAGGGAACTACGATCCAGCCACCGCATTGTGTGTGCGCTTAATTCCCAAATACAGTGTGCTTGTGTTTGCCTGTGAAGGAGTGTGGGCCGGCTCCGTTGATGAAACGTGGCTCCCATCCGCCTGCCTCCCGGTCTTAGTCCTTCGGGGTTACATTGGATATGGGGTGTGTGGTTGGAGCTGTAGGTGGCGCAGTGCAAGGCACCATTGGTCGCTCGGTAGGCGCCGGCGTCATGTGGTTGGCCACAGTGACAGGCAAATCCGAACACGGATGCTGCCAACTATATACATATCACTAACACGTTAAATTCTACATTTCACAAACCCCACTGAACATGTTGTGAACAACTTTGGAAATTTTGCAAAACAAATTGGACTTTTTACAAAACACTTTGGACACAGAAAATTTCAAGCGGAAAACCACCAACTCACTTGCAAGGAATGAGGAGTAAGGCGAATAGACATCGAAGGTAGATAGACAGCGCAGTCATGCCAATGCAACCGAATTGTGTAACCAGCGCGTGCCACTGCAAACTCTTCTCTTAATCGTGAACCTTGATCGCATCGAGCAAATGCGGTGACTGAGTACCCTCCTATCTCCCCATCTGTCTTCTCGTAGTTTGTGTGCTTCTGACTTTACACATGGACCTGTGACTAGTAGAAAGACCGACTTCCAAATAGCGTTGTCTACCAGAAGTTAAACAAATGTAATCTAGCATTGGAGTGTGGTTGTGAAGCGCTCATTTTGTGAATGAATTGCTATACGCCATCGCAATGTGCATCGCGATCCCACTGAATTAAACCTTGGACAATTCCCTCAATTGGACTGTAACTGATGAAGCAGCAGGCGGTGATCCAGTGGTCCCCTGTCACTATATGAGCCTTCGGGTATGCGTGTGGGCCAATTTATCCAGCTGCTCGATTATTGGATCAGTGCAGGCTATCATGACTCCATGAAACACAGCACAGCTTTATTGGCCTATTGCTGCAAGTCGTTCTCAAAGAAAGAAGATTAAAACGACTGGACGATGTTCAGATCACATTGTGCTCGAGCGAAGGCAACGGGACTTTGCAAGCAGTGGGCGATTGTGCAAACGCTCCTCTTGATCAGTGGCGTTGTTCATCTCGAGCAAAGCCGGCTACTCACTTATCCATTGTCGCTCTATGGGTTTTCGCATATTTCCTGGGGGTGGGTAGGCGAACCTACGCAGTACAATCACTGGAACACTGCTGGCTATTATGAATTCACCTAAACCAGTCTAGCTTTATTGGTTTACAACTGTAGCTTGTTTGAAAAGTCAGGGAAGTAAGGGGACTGTACGATAATCCGGCTACACTACGCTTAAGCCAATGCAATGTATCTGCATAACCAGTGGGCGATTGTGCAATACCTCCTCTTGATGAGAGGCGTGAGTTGACCCGATCAGAATTGGTGACCCAGTAGTTTCGTGTCGCTCTATGTGCTTTCTCGTATCTAATGTGGGTGTGTGGGCGTACTTATTCAGCTGTTCGATTATTGGATCATTGCATACTAACATGACTCCACCAAATACAGCATGTACAGAGAAGTCAAGAGCGTAAGCTTGCCGGATTGCGATGGTCATGGCACGGTTGACGCGGTCTAACTCGTGTTCACACTTCTTGAGCGTTATTCTTAACCACCTGAGAGGGTCGAAAACATAAGACAAGGATAGGTGGACTCCGATCACACTCAGTCGCTGCTACAGCTGTCTTCGGAATGCCGTTTCTTCAATGCACTGCAGGATGTCCAGAATCAGTTTCTCCCTGTTATTTCCTCTACATCTGCGCTGATTGTTCATGCCTTCGCTGCTCTAGGCAATGGTAATGTTTCCTGCCATGTTCTCGTTCAAATCGGCGACTTCAGCGGCTTCGTGGATGGTTTTGTAGTCGACGAAGAGGAACTTAGTGAGGATCCCTTTCTGTGCCACTGATGTTCGCTTGTACCGCCCCGGCATCGAAAATGCATTATCTCGCTGCTCATCGCTCACATTGGTCGATTCGTGCAGCACAAGGATAATAAAGCTATGTTATGAGAGGATTGTCCTGTTCTCCGAGCTGGGCATTTCGGTTGCAGATGTTTCGTTGCCAAACTAGGCAACATCTTCAGTGCGACTATTCAGTCCTGATTCGCGGTTTCGCAAACCAATGTCAGATCTGACATCTGGACTGAATAGCCGCACTGAAGATGTTGCCTAGTTTGGCAACGAAACGTCTGCAACCGAAATGCCTAGCTCGGAGAACAGGACAATCCTCTCATCCACACCCCGAGCTACAAGTATTCTCTATAATTTCCAAAGCTATGTTATGTTTGGTGGAGTCATGACAGCCCGTACTGATCCAGTAATCGAGCAGCTGAATAGGTTGGTCCACACATTCATAGGAAATGCGCGGATGCCCAACAGGTGACAGGGCAATATGTGTCACCCACCTCGATGGAGGTGAACGAGGCCAATGATCAACAGGAAGACTTGCACCACTGTCACGCATTCGCGTGACCAACATGTGGCGGGAACATCGTCCAGTCGCCTTATCCCCCTACCATGATAACAATCCGCAAGTTCAGGCCAGCACAAGTAGGTTGGTTTTGGTGGATTCATCATGGCCAACAGTGTTCCAATACTCGAGCAGCTAAATAGCTGCGTCAACACACCTCCAGGAAATACGCGAAAACCCATAGAGCGACAATGGATAAGTGAGTAGCCGGCTTTGCTCGAGATGAACAACGCCACTGATCAAGAGGAGCGTTTGCACAATCGCCCACTGCTTGCAAAGTCCCGTTGCCTTCGCTCGAGCACAATGTGATCTGAACATCGTCCAGTCGTTTTAATCTTCTTTCTTTGATAACGACTTGCAGCAATAGGCCAATAAAGCTGTGCTGTGTTTGGTGGAGTCATGATAGCCTGCACTGATCCAATAATCGAGCAGCTGGATAAATTGGCCCACACATAATGCGCGAAGATACATAGCGTGACAGCGGACAATAGGATCGCCTCCTACTGCCTCATCAGTTACAGTCCAATTGAGGGAATTGTCCAAAGTTTAATTCAGTGGAAGTCGCGATCCACAATGATCCACAACGAGTGCTTCACAACCACACTCCAATGCTAGATTACATTTGTTTAACTTCTGGTAGACAACGCTATTTGGAAGTCGGTCTTTCTACTAGTCACAGGTCCATGTGTAAAGTCAGAAGCACACAAACTACGAGAAAACAGGTGGGGAGATAGGAGGATACTCAGTCACCGCCTTTGCTCGACGCGATCAAGGTTCACTATTAAGAGAAGAGTTTGCAGTGGCACTCGCTGGTTACACAATTCGGTTGCATTAGCATGACTGCGATGTCTATCTACCTTCGATGTCTATTCGCCTTACGCCTCATTTCTTGCAAGTGAGTTGCTGGTTTTCCGCTTGAAATTTTCTGTGTCCAAAGTGTTTTGTAAAATGTCCAAATTGATTTACAAAGTGTCCATATTGGTTTGAAAAGTGTCCAAAGTGGTTTGCAAAATGCTCAACTTGGTGTACCAAATGTCCGATTCCAATTGGAGGTATATATATATATATATATATATATATATATATATATATATATATATATATATATATATATATATCAGGTGGCAACCACAACGAGCGAAACTCTTCACACACCTCAAGGATTTGGTGGAGCACTTTTCTGGTGCCCGTTATAAGAAACTTTACCCACCTGTAAGGCTTCGGTTGGCTGACACATTTCCATACCATCCAATTGCGCTCACTCCATCGTCTTCAGGTTTAGGGGATGTGTTAAAGTGGGCCATTTTGAGGAGATTGATTTGCGTTCTCACACCATTTTGGTATGTGAAGATGCTGCAGTCCGTCTCATCTGGGTCTCGATCTGGCCAAAACACCGGACAGCAGACGGTGGCAGTTTGAGTGTACAGCTGGACATTCCATTCGCACGGGAGAGGTCGGTGGATTTCTGGTTTCGAAGTGATCATTGCACTGAATATCTCCTTTGGAAACACAGTGAAAAGGAGAAGATGGTCAGAATGAGTATGTGTGAATGGTGAGTACGTCGAACTTGCAACTGGAACATCAACAACAATTGTCGTAACAGCGGCCATGAGAAATGGACCAGTGAAGAAGCGTTAACACGCATGCAGAAACAGTGCTACTCACCGAGGGTGATTCGAGATCGCATAAGGGACGAATGGTGATCAACTCAAGCCAAAAGGCATTGAGATAGTACCTTCGCACAGCTGTGTGAGTCAGCAAGCAGAGGGGATTAGTATGGGACTATCTTTTAGTGAGCAGTGAGTATCCCTAGAGGTCGAAGATGGCAAAGGAGACAAACCGGAACTCGATAGCCTAAATACCCGGAAACTTTTGTGGCGGTTACAGCTATCGAAGATACTAGACTAAGAATAGAGTCTGAGGACATAATACGATTGGAACCCGCACTAGGACCAAGCAATGACCCAACCACATACCACAAATTGCTCCATCGCAACATACTAGCATTGCATTAATTCGTATTTTTTATAACTGGACGGTGTAAGTGAAGTGCTGGGAGAGAGTAATTCCGAAATCTCCCCACTTCAAATGCCGTTCATGTGATCGGAATCACCGAGGTCGGCCTCAAAGTAAACCAATAATCCAATAGAGATTGAGTGTCTCAATTCAAACAGTGTACACTCTATATAATTGAAGACTTGTAGCTCAGGTTGTTCAGATGGCTGTTGAACTGTTCGTCAACCTCAGAGAACAGTTCAACCGCCAGCGTTCACTCTTTTTCACTCGTTTCAAGTACCCATGTAATGATTCCTGGGTAGGTTTACCATTACATTTTAACCATCTGTAACTTTGTAATCAATCACTTACTCTACACTCTCCACAGTCACATCGTTCTTATACATACTTCAAAGTACCAAGCGAAGTTTTACCAGTTCGGAAAAATACGTTTAAAGACCTGTCGAATAGAATTCAATTCTGAGAATATGTCAAGGGCGGAATCTAACCAAAAAGAACTTACTTTGCTAGCCGACTAACGGCGACGGACAATGGTGTTTATGTTCGATTCCCACGTTGCAAAGCATTAGCGATCAGTTTTAAACAGTTGCACCAAGTTAAAAGTGAATCTATGCCATCGATATGTATATACTGTTGCATGGGTCATCAAGGTAAACTTGATAGTAATTGGAGATAGTTTTTAAGTACTCGTTATATGATTAGATTGCGACACGTAAATGTAATGTGAACCACGAATGTCATTTTGCCGTGGATTGGTAGAGCATACATAAGTTACGACTGGCAGTGTTTATCCTCAAGGTTCAGGTCGTTCTGCGGCTAGCTGCTTAAAAAATGCAAACAGAACGTGGAGTACATTGTGTTGCGTGAATGCATGCAATCCTTCACTTTGCTAAACCCCACCGGTGCTCTCTGATTGCAACCGCATACCCTTTTGTGATCAGCCTTCCTATCGTAAGCAGTAGTATCGCACGATGTCAACGTTCGATTTGAGTGATTCCATCCTTATTTGGGGCATGACCACGTGATGTCGATCGATGGTTCGTTGAGATGCAAAACAACCTGAGCGAACCTGTCGCTAAATAGTGAATACCTCATTGTATCTGAGCCCCCGAGACTGTTTCTAAGCACTAACGGTAGTGAGAACATGAACGACCAGGCAAAAGGATTCAAGGCGTTCTTTTACATAGGAAACATACTTGGTTATGTAGCATGACGCGCAAGCGTAAATATCAACCAGATTACGGAAAGCATACGGACAAGCAAGACCAATAAAGACTAAACACATAAGAAACCAAACAGGTGCACACAATGAACGGAAAGTGAGCTTTTAGCGTCAGAGTAAAGCTTCGATCTGAAGTCAAAAAGTAACAACCAAACGAAAATAAGGATAGTGTGATGACACGTTAAAACAAATGTCAGTGATCCGTCAGAGCAAAAAACGAAAGTGTATTACTTATGAGTAGAAGGATTTTTGTGAGTATTTTTGTTCGTCGCAGTTAGCCGACAATTCAGATAAGTCAACTACCTATCCGGAAAAGCTTTTCCGGATAGGTAGTTGACTTATCTGATTTGTCGGCTAACTGCGACGAACAAAAATACGAAAGTGTATTTGTATCGCTCCTCTAACAGATACTTAAGCCATGTGATTCAAATTTCATGGGAAATAACCTCTACCATTGAGTAACACGTACCCTGTTCGCCTTGTAGGTGCGATAAGTAAGCGAAACTTAACGAGTTACCTGTTCTCCTTCGATCAAATACCATCTTTCGTAGAGCCGATCTCTGACGGTGGATCGCCAGAATTGATCCCAGTCATTAGCACGCAATTTTGCCAAATGGAGCAAGCTTAGACCTCCGTTGATACCCTTGAAGAGAAGTGGTGTAAGAAGGCACAGTGAGCCTTGGTGTAAGGTGAAGTACAATCCCGTTTGTGAAAAAAAACAACGGTTTTGCAGAAGAAAGCTAAACTGTGTGTATGTGATTCATTTAACATATGCTAGTTGGATTTGATGCGATTTTGGCGGCTTTGAATCCCGCTTTATAAGTGAAGCGAGAAAGTGACATAGACTAGTTTAGATACTACCTCTACCGCTTGGTTTCTTTCCAGACTTGTAGCAGAAAAATGCAAGTGCTTAACAAGTTCTGTGGGTGAAAGCGGTGAAAATCGAAAAGGAAGCGTATGGAAAAACGGCTATGGATGGACTCACCGCGAGTTTCACATGTGTCCAAATTTTGGTTAGGTTTCTCTTGTCTCAATCATTCGGGCTAACGCTTGTAACGTAAACGGAGTATTACCTCATCAAAGCAAGTTTTTAATTTGGTTTGCGTAGGAGCAGAAATAACAGGGGTTCTCAATTTGGACCCATGAAGTGAGAAAAGGTTTCAGTGGCATTCCAAATGGCTATGCCGCGTGGCCAGCATCTCAGTGAGATGTTGTGCCTGACTTTCAATGGGTGTTGGCATGAGTGGTTAGGATCCTTGAGGATCGGATACACCAATATGATATCATCACGGATACGTCGATAGTATTTACTGAAAACTCCCAAGGTCATTAGTGTAAGTTGGTAAGACAGCTAAAGTAAACCCTTCACATTTTTCGTCGTTCTCGATTGCGGACTCTCTAGAGCAGTGAGGACATAATTTTATCACACCTGGTTGGTGTATCCTCCTACATTTTGTGAAAAGTTGTGCCTACACAGGAATCGCAAATGTTCACTAGCTTTTCTCGACCGTTTTCCGGTTGGTGCTGAGCATCGAACCAAGCACTGCAATCCATGGCGGGAGAGTATATGCGGACGGTGACCGAAAGGACAAAGCATCTGCCTCGTAATTCAAATATAGCCGGTTCGAATTCGTGTAGATGTTGGGTGATTTCGGTGTATCGCCAGCCCACGCGCGACCTGTGGTGGTCGCGGAACAACGAAGCGTCGATACGGTGTGCCGGCGTACTGGTGATGCCCTGTAAGAAGCACAAGTCCGATTGCATGACTTTTAGCACCCAACAGGTAGGTATATCCGCAGGTTAAGTGAGAATTAGTACCCATGGCTCGGTGACCTAAGTCGCTGACTCGCAAGAGTAAGGTTGTGGGTTCGAATCCAGCAGGATTCGGCGGGTGCGCGCTATTGACAAGTCCCAATAGAACGAAACAGCCGTCTAGCGCTTTCCTGGATGTATAGTGGCTGTCTGCCTGTATCTAACTGCGACGGACCTACACAAACAAATAGATAGATGTACTTAGTTAGAGGGAGGTGGCCAAATTGTACTTCGAATGGGACTATATAGGGTCCACAGACTGATGAGGGCCTTTTATCTGCATAGAGAATATGAGAAGCATACTGCCAAACTGGCTCTTCTAATCCTGGAATCGGTTTGATACACTCGACACTCAGTCCAGTATGGTGATGGCAACCGAAATGGCTTTCACCTCAGGTTTCAATATGCGTCACTCAGGGAGGCAACAGGCGATGGACAATGGTGCTTGTTTAGCTTCAATGACCATGAAAGTTGTCGTGTCTCAGCGGAGCCCTGAACCTTGATGGTATGCCATAATTATATAGAGTTATTTTCTCGGATGTGTGATACGCCTTCGTGTGATAGCGATACATAATTAATACAGTGAGGATAATGCTGTTGCGTGACTAATTAAAGTATCCACTGACACGCAAGCACCTTGACGTGCTGAAGGATTTAAGACGCAATGAGAAGATAGTTCTAAGCAAACCGGACAAGGGTACCGGAGTCGTTCTAGTAGACAAAGAAGAGTATATAAACAAGCTCGAAAAAGTTCTGAGTGATGAATCGAAGTTTTCTAGAACGATTGGAGAAAAGGACTAAACAGAGAGGATTGAAAACCATATTATTAAAAGCTTGCAAGATTTTCGGAATAATGGACATATATCAAATACACCTTATGATAGCCTAAAGCCGAGTGGCACGAATGTCCAGAGGTTTTATGGATTACCGAAAATTCATAACACAGATATCCTGCTTCGCCCGATCTTATCAATGGTTAACTCACCCTACCATACCGTCGCCTAATGGCTTGTGGAAATTCTAAAGCCAGTAAGACAGCGACTTACACAATACAGCCTTCGTAACACCTTTCATTTCATCGAAAGCATCAAAGACCGCAACCTCGGTAGGAAAGTAATGTTTTCCTTGGATGTTGAATCGCTTTTAAGCAACGTGTCACTTTTCGAGACGATCGATTACCTTTGCTCCTACATAGAAGAAACAAAAGCGGGTATATGCATACCTTTGCGTGACTTGAAAAGCCCTCTTCTGTGTTGCACTTGGAACGTACAGTTTTTATTCAATGGCATTTACTACCGACAAAAGGATGGTGTAGCTATGGGATCGCTATTGGGTGCGTTGTTAGCTGATGTCTTCATGGCGAAATTAGAGAATACCAAGTTACATGAGGAGATCACGGCCTATGAATGACGACATATTTGTCGTGGCCGACCAATCTGTTGACCTTGACGCTGTTATTGACAGTTTTAATCGGGCCCACGGATCACTGCAGTTTACCTACGAAAAAGAATTGAACGATCACTTGCCGTTTCTTGATGTGCTGTTAACTAGAAGGGCATACGGCTCGATCCAACGGCAGGTCTACAGAAAGAAAACCTGGAGTGGTCAGTATACGAACTTCCACAGTTTCGATATAAGCGAAACCCAATTCGCTGTCTAAGCACAAGGGCCCACAGGATCTGTTCTGAAGACTAGTTGGATAATGAGTTGACGTTCATTTAGAATTTGCTGCGCGAAAACGGATATCCTGATCGTTTCATTTTTAGGAACATGCAAAATAAGCCCGACCTGTTGCAGGTTCAGACAGCAGAGAAAAAAGAACTTTTCATACGACTACCCTTCAAGGGAGACGCCGCTGCTGAGCGTGTAACTAGAAGCCTTTCAATAGCTATCAAGTCAACTTTCCCAGCAGCCAAGCTTAGGTGTACCTTTTCCACGGAGCCACTCATCCGTATTTACAACAAAGACAAGTTACCGACGCTGACCGTTTCTATGGTAATTTATCAGTTCGAGTGCGCTTGTGGCGCTACTTACATCGGTCGAACGGCGCGGCAACTGTCGAAACGCATTAAGGAGCACCTACCACGCTGGTTGCCTCGAGGCGGCACTGGAGCTATAACTAGCTCAGTTATGGCTCATCTGCTTGATAGTGGGCATGAGGTTGACCCAGTCAGTGCCTTTCGAATAGTATATAGGGTCCCTCCACTCCAGTCGAAGGGCCTGCGCCTCCGCACCCTTGCTACTGCCGAGGCGATCAGCATTCGGTTGTACCAACCGCTTTTGTGTGCACAAAAGAAGCTGATCGAAGCTGTTAAGCTACCTTGGCCAGCCAAAACGGATCCTTCTGAGAGCAACTGCAATTGTGCAACTGCACCTCTGTCCTAATTTGCTGTTTGTTACTGGTTCATTCCTTTGGTCGGCACGTGATCAATCTCATTTGAACTGATCGTTAATCCACTTTTGCGCCCATTGCTATTTCACTCATATGTTTGTATGGGTCTGAAGATGAACCATAGAGAAAACAATGGTTTACCTTCGGTCTTTTGTTCTTGATAATGAAATGGGAATTTTCCAGTTATTGTATTCAACAGTGTTTGGCTGTTAAGACATGCTGAAATACACGGTCTTTGTTGGTGTTGATTTTAGCGTAACCCTTCCTACCCACCGGCTGCGTTTTATAGTGGGACCTTTGGCGATTCTCTCAATGAAAGAATGTCCATTGTAAAGTCCTGGTCTAGGGTACTCTCAAATTCAATGCACAATGTTCTCACGTTTGAAGTTGAGTCGGCTTTAAGGGAAATACGCTGTTGCAACGTGTATTTTGAAAGCTGTGAAAGTGACCAAGGCAACGATCACAACGACTGACCGATCTGTTTTGTTGACCCGAATACTTCGACATAGTGCCCCAGCTAGCACAAAGAACCTAGCTTCGTTTCGGTTTATCTGCGGGCTTTTTTACCTTACGATGCATTACCCATGAATACACCGCTGTCCCTATAAGCGCCATAAGCGATACACGTCATACCGGACTCCATAACTGTCATCAACCGGTCAGCTGACGCCGTATTCTACATCATGAAGCCTGTAGCATAGTCACTGTGGGCATAACTTGAATTACCTAGAACAACAGAGATGTCGCTTCCCCGTATCTAAACGCTTGCGTGGACCGGACCGCCCAGTGAAAAGTTATTGTCTGATCAGTCACATTTCTCTGCGCTGAGTGAATGTTCATTCCGAAGAAGGATTGATGATTGCCCGATGGGTCAAACAGACACCTCTTCACTCCACTGAGACACATAATCATTGCACACCTATAAGAAGAGCACGACCATTTCATCAGCCAACTTACCGTTATGGATCCGGCGGGCTGGCCATCGCATCGGGAGCTGTCTGATCGCTGTTCAGCAGCCATTGCGATTGCCTAAATTGTCCGAAGGGAAGAAATAGAGACGAAGCATAGCAGATACAAGGATGTGCATTTGCGCATAGCATTCTGTGATAACATGAGAAGGTATATCAAGATTCATAAGAAGTATGGTCTTGCATCAGTTGCCAGCCCCGGTTGTACGTGTGCGCGATCTTTGAGTGGCAAACCTAGTGTGTAAGCTATTCGTTGTTCGATTTTTATAGTGCTATTTAAGCGTCTGGACTGCGACCCACTATCGCAATTTAGAATGCAGTTTGTTTTTGAGTAAATCACAGTTATACCGACCGAGGTGTCGTACAGACCCCCCAAAGCCAAATAAAGTCTGCGCAACAACCGAAATCTATCATTTGTAAAGCAAAGTATCGTTTGTATTGTGCATACGTGGAGAACGCTATTTGGTCGCTGCGTCTCCATATTGATCATCATCCATTTTTGTCTTTTCCGCGGTCTTTGTGCTCATCCGTCCGTACGTTCTGTTCAACTCAATCGACTACTGCTCCGTCTAGGTTATTTGCTTGGGCGCGTCAGCTTTACTGTGCGCGCCGGGCCAACGCACACGCTACGTCCGCTCGCGGCTGTTCCAGTCAAGCTGCTTCGCCGTTGTTGTGAGAAAACTGTGTATTCAAGTTGATTCATCGCAATTAGATTCCAAGCCGCATAAGTAAGCTACCAATCCAGAAAAGCATCAGACGCGCATTTTGCCCTATTGGGGCTCGTCAATGGTGCGCATCCATCGGTCCACTACTGGGGATCTGTTGTGTCCCCAGGCATTCGACTTCTTAGATTACGCCCCACGAGTCAAAAGACACGCACCGGACAGGAGGTAAATTTGCAGAACACTACACGGGCCGGCGTGGGTATGAAAACACTCTAAGTCCAGTTCCAATCACGGCTGAGGGCTAATTTGAATTTATCGATCTCAAAGAACCACGGGTCGTGTGAGGGGTATGTAACAAGCGAAGTAACAAATGTTCTGAAACATGGAAAAACACTAGTCTGCTTGTAACTAAGACTGTTCTGAAATAAATGAGAATATGCGTAGCTCGGGGTGTGGATGCGGATTTTGGGCGGTTCTCCGAGCTGACTGTTCTAATGCAAGGCACACGGTTCCTTGTGGGAAATCGCGCACTTACATTTCCGAACAAGTCAATTTGTTTCATTTCTGTGCGCACTTGACTTTGGTCTGTGTGAAATTCTGTTTTTTCAGCCAAGTTACAAGATTTGGCCTGAATCAGTGGCGCCAACTCGACTTGATTTGCAGACAACGCGATTTTCCTTGGAGCAGGCCGTTCGAGACCTAACAGGATCGAACCCATGACTGCTAGAGGCTAGCGCCAACTAGCTAGCAGCTTATGCCAGAGAGCCATGGGGGACGACAGCCGACCATTAGGAATTGAAACCTAACTGCGATATGGCCCGGCCCATCCTCCACTGCCGTGCAGGTTAATGCCCATGCAGGGGACAGTGGTTGGTCGTCACGGTCAGGTCTTCCCTTGCCAGCGCCGTGAATCCACACAGCAATTCTGAATACTGGCAGGGTAAGGGAAGACCTGACCGCGACGGTTTAAAGCACTCTCAATGTCTTGTGAATCGTCACCAAGTAAAGCGATATGGGAAGTTCGCTGTGTTAAACCTCCCTGCACCACCATAAATGTTCCTCAGTTCTCTAATACACATACTCCGCAGACTCTCGTTCACACGCACATCCACACACATGCACAGTTGCTATGTTACTATCAAGCCAAGCATGAGTAACAAACGGTTGCTGAAAACGAAAGAAAAACCCATGAAAGTACCGCAGAGTAAAGTCCCAGCATGACTCCCAAATTAGATAACGTTGATAACAACTCTAAAGGAAATCCATAAGGATACACGATTTAATAATAGAGATGGTTCTGGTGCTACAGCTGAGTGGACGATCATAGGGAATATTTTCTAGTCTAAAAAGTTTCAGCAATAGTCCAAGGGTTCTCGATTGTAATCTCTCGGACACTTGGATTCAGGCTGGGTTCATACGAGACGCTGCCGCAGGCATGACCCCGAAAAGAATTTGAGCAATTTCTCTAAGTTGGATTTCTAAACAATGAGCGACTTATCATTGTGTGACACCTGGGAGACGCCGAACCAGAACTGAAAGCTCACGAGCAATCAAACATCCTTCAAGAAAGAGAGGATTACGGGGAGAAAGCTCACCTGGTGTCGGTCGAAGAGATCAAATTGCTGCCATAAATCTTGTAGGTTAGCGTTCAAAAGCATGTCCGAGTCCACAACAATGATCTGTGAATATAATAGACGGGTAGAATAAGGTTTTATATATTCGCCGCAACTTTTGTCTAGAAGTTGACAATATTTCCCTCTGCTGAGGCTGAAAGTCAATTCGCAAACCGAAGCGGAGGCACTGTACTGAGTTAGTTGCCATCAACGGATGTATAGGTCGACAAGATAGATATGTGGTAAAATGTAGGTAGTCAGCATTATCGGAAACGGGGTATTTTTCGCTCTATTCCAGTTAGATTTAAAGTTATGACAGTCTGCTACCGTCTCTATGGCTGAGTGGCATAAGCTGTTAGCTAATTGGCGCCGCTATTAGCGGTCATGGGTTCGGTTCCTTATAGGGGAATGAGGGAATGCGCACACTGATGAGCCCCAATGGGGCGAAACGGTTGTCTGGCAATGTTCAGGATCGGTGGTTAGACTAAATCGATTGTGAGGTGTTAGGAGGAAGCTGTAAAAATTTCATCAAAAGTCCTACTCATCAGCAACCAAAAATTGCCCTCACGGTCTTCAAATACCATGCCGTACCTAGCTGCTGTGCAGTGAAATTCGTGATCTCTAAAGGTCGACCACTGTCCTCTGCAAGGTTAGTAACCTGCGCGGCAGTGGAGGATAGGTTGTCGCGCTGTGTACCGGGTATCTTGCAAGTTATGACAGTCCGCCACCGTCTTCTGCGGCTCAATGGAACGAGCTGCTGGTTAGTTAGCGTAAGTCACTGGCAATCATGTGTTCAGTTCCCTGCAGCGGACCAGGAGAATCCGCACCGTTGACGAGCCCAACAGAGCGAGACAATCATCTAGCGCGTTAGTGTATTGGTGATTGGAATTTCTGGAGTATGAGTTGCTGGGACGAACCACGCAAGTTCAACAAAAAGCATCATACTCATTAGTAATACGAGTTTATTTGGACCGACGCTTTATTACCATACGATCACGACGATCTGGACAACTGAAGGTGAAGGACAGCTTAGAGTAAAACTTGGGAGGTTTAGCTGCATACACCTAATCAACATCACACCATCAAACAGCCAGCTATTTTGCGAGGGTAAGACGGCATTGGCGAGGCGGCCTCCGTGAAACTTTCACTGGTCCACATGCAACGGTGGTGATAAAATCGAGTTCAGAATCTGCCGCGTAATCGATGCTCTGGAGTGAACATGGAGACAGTTTATTCGAGTAGATGAGAACCCAACCACGAAAAGTCCCTATCGTGTTTTCTTGCAATTAGTATGCATTACAGATTACCTGACAAACTTGGAAATACGGTTTTTTGAGAAGAGAAAACGTATAAAAACCGTGGCATGTGGGCACCAATCGTGTCTCAGACTCCTTGGTAAACTATGCAGTGCGGGTGCTGAACCGAAACCAGTGTCCAGAGGTAACGCAGAGCTGAAGCATTTGAACTTGTCGAAACTTGCTTGTCACCAACAACTAAGAGATATCTGTTCAGATTCCATCTAGATTATTTTGATGCGAACAGTGTCTAGTATGCCGTCATTCACCAACTGGTTTACGCTTCAAGGTCAGTTGGGGTCTATGAAGAATGGTTATACCTATACTGTCTTTTGGAATCTACCTAAAACTGATGGAGGGTTTATGACTTTAAGAAAGCTTTAAGATATTCGGCTCTTAAATTTTCTGGACAAAATTCTACTTCGACTTAAAATCTGAACGAATAAGCACATATACGGTATGGTGCCGTAAAGCACAGGACTCTAGCCCTATGAAGAGAAAATGAAGCGATTCTCGTGAATCCCAAAGCCACATTCACAGTTGAAGAAGAAATTGATAACCAAATGCACTTCTTGGATGCAAACTTAAAGCGACGAGAAGACGGATCATTTCAGATAGGAGTATATAGAAAGCCGTAGAGGACAGGCCAATACACACACTTCCGAAGTTTTGTGCTAATAAGCCGCAAAAGAACACTGGTATATAAGGTGGCCAATCGTGCCCGGGGGATTTGTAGTGAGGACACAGTTGAAGAAGAAATGAAGTGGATCAGACAAACACTTCTCGAAAACGGTTATCCAGAACCATTCATTGACGTTCATATAAAGTCTAGTAGCCCAAGACCAACAGTGCAAACGGTGGAGAAGAAACAGCTAATTCTCCAACTTCCCTTTAAAGGTGACATACCGGCTGAGATATGCACACTACGACTGATACAGACTTGCCAAAAGACCTTTAATGCAGCTCAACTAAGTGTCGTTTTTACAAGCCGTTCGCTCTTTGTTCCTGGGTTCAAAGACAAGATGCCTGATCAACGCCAATCAATGGTAGTCTACCGGTTCCCCTGCTCCTGTGGAGCTAGGTACCTTGGGCGCACGACCAAGCACTTGGAAAAGCAAATCAAGGAACATTTACCAACGTCGCTCGTCACCCAACGTCACAAAAATAAGTTGAGTGCCATAACTAACCGTCTGATCTGCACCAGTCATCTGATTGATAAGCGCAAGTTTGAGATCCCCTATCGAGTTCCATCACAGCTACACCATCGGTCAGGGGCTCGGCTACTCACAACCGCTGGAGCAGTATGCATCAGGTTGACAAAACCAAATCTATGTATTCAGAAGCAGCATGTACAAGTAATACAAGTACCCTGGCCAGCCAGTAATAAAGATGGATCGGACCTTACTCAGTCGTATCACACGCCTTCAGTCACATGACCACATGATACGTTACGTCAAGCAGTTAAAAAGTTTTGTTTAATCAATAGTTACTCTCTGTTTTCCCGTATGAACCCCTCTTCTCAAGGTATATTTCTGTACCAAGTCTGATAATGAGTAAATCGAAAACAATTGTTCGTTTTAAGCGTACCGCTTGCGTTTCTTCTCACAGTACGTAATAAAAATGGGCATACTACATCATAATTCAGGTGTACTGGGCTATAACGAAGTACTCGAATGTGTCTGTTGATTTGCGTTACACTGTAGGCAGTCAAGAAACAAGATGACACCGTTACGCCGTCTCAATTACATAGTAAGGTTTGTTGCCCCGTCATCATAATTTTAGAAAGCCACTGAAAATCGTCAACTTCTCCTTCTCGAAATCTTCCAGGTCCATAATCTTGACTAATCTTGACTAAATTAGGAAATCAGAAACAGAAAGTAGCGAACAAGCTTGTTTTCAGGGCTTCATCATCAGGCTAATACAACCACAATAAAGCAAGCTAGATTAGACACAATGGATTTAAATTGAGTCACTGAAGCAGAGTAACTAATCGATAAGTCTGCGTGTTTGGTCTGATTGGTCAAGTGAAGTGGCGTGACTGCCATTGTTAATCGCGTTGATCTGAGGCCAAGGCAAGGTTAAAGTATGGACGAGTTTTTTTTCTGTCCGGGTTATAGAGCCGAATTGTGATCGCTTCTGCTGTCGACAGCAGGCGACATCTGACCGCCCGTGTGTAACGTCCGGAGACACAGTAGATCGGTGTGGATGCGTCACGCCAATCGATTTGATGATCGAAGTCCACTAGGTGCGTCAATACTGCACTCGTAACATTCTTCCTCACGCCGCTGTAGAGCCAAGCTGGGCAATGCTCTCGAGCACTAACGGACAGTCGCCTGGTTGTTTTCCCAATATATCTTGCTCGACACGAGCAAGAGAAATTGTACACACAGAAGGAGGTCTGCGACCGAGGTGTCCTATCTTTAAGTTGTTGGCGCACAATCAGTGTTGAGGTGAAGCTTACGCGGAGATTAGCGGTAAAGTATGAGCTCTCTTTTGCTAAGGAAATTCATTGAGTGATTCATTCTACTATCGCGTCACCCTTAAATGGTAACAATAAGTATATCATCCGCTTCTCTGCGGAAACGGGTTTTGGCTTTTCTACTCGGGGTTCCATGTGCCACTGGATGAATTTCTCAGGGTACCCATTACGTTTGAGTACGTTTCGTATAAAACTCAGCTCAGCTGAAAGCGTGTCATCGGTACATATTCTCTTCGCTCTCTCCGTTAGACAACGGACGAGGTTCCTTTTTTGACTTATCGGAACAAAACTAGCGAAATGGATGTACTGCCAATTTCAGGTTGCTTTTCTGTGCACCCTCCTCCGCACTGACCCGTCTGATGCCCTGTTGATTTGGACATCTAAAAATGCCAACGAGTCGTTACGTTCTAGCTCGATAGTGAAAGTTATGTTACTATGTGCAGTGTTCAGCTGGGCCAATAGATCCTCGACGAATATTCCACTAGCCGCAATATAAAATATGTCGTCTACGTATCGACGGTAATAAACCAAGCTGTTGATGGATTCGTTCAGCTGGTTGCACTCCAATTTGCCCATTGTGTCTAATCTAGCTTGCTTTATTGTGGTTGTATTAGCCTGATGATGAAGCCCTGAAAATAAGCTTGTTCGCTACTTTCTGTTTCTGATGTCATCTCCGAGAATTATTTCTCAATTAAATTATGAAATACAGTAAATCAATGTAAAGCGCTATTTTTCGAAATATTCGGTAAAATTTAATATTCCCTGTGTCAGCTGTGTTACTGTTCGGAGTCGGTACTGATAATTTGATAATCACAAATCTAGCTACTCATGCGAACTCATAAGATAGAGGCCGCAACAGACTGATCAGAATATTTTTCACGTTATAGAGCATATTCCGTGTAGTATAAACCAAGTCGGAATGTCAGTTGGTAAAACGTTGATTGATCGTAGCCCTTTAGCAAATGTGGTGATTCCGGGAGCATACTTCGCATATTCATCTATGCCAAAGAAGCTCATCTTGTCATTCGAAGTGACCAATACCTGATATGGCGCCGGTAACAAGCTCGAATTAACCGTTTGTCGTAATCTTTAGCTTCTAGTTGGGAGGACACATGGGCAAGATTCCATGTAGGGTTCGTTGACCATGGTACGTTATGCAAAGTTTGCTTAAGCTGACACAAATCGCGTCTTACGGAAAATGTGATAAGCTCGAGGTTGCGACTGCCTAAACACTTCGCGAGTTGTACGATTAATGAAACACTCAATTAGATAACCAATGAAACTCACACGTTCGTCACTACTTGCTAGTGGTGTTTGCGGTTGTTGGTATATGCGGCTATCATCAACAGACGAACTTGTGCCACCACAGATACACTCACCTTCTCCACCCAACGTGGTAGTACACATGGGATCACGAGCTTCACCGTTGCCGCAGTGCCAGCATTGTGTGAGTTCAGGATCCAAGCCACGTTAGGCTGTATGAGTGAAATATGGACAGTCGTTACATTCGTTCACGGGAGTTAGTTAAGTAGTGATCACGAGGAGCATCTCAATAATACAATACAAGTGCTTCTACTGATGCATGTAAATTCGAAAGGGTTTTCCGAGAATTAAGCAACATCGAACTCATGAGGAGCAGTTTAGTGCGCAAAACGCCTCAAGTTAACATTCAAGGAAGATGAACTCAAAGATATTGCAAACTAAGAAACGAATAGTCTCTGTGTTCTAACAATAAATGAGCACCAAAGGGAGAACAGTCAGTCAAGTAGCGTTTCACATCATAGTAAACGTTGCTATCTGGACGCCAAACTCAGACTGAAATTGAGACTGTTTTTAACAGCAAGTAGAAAAGTTTGTGTACAACTCTATTGAACTAGGAAAAATCAATAACATTTAATTGCGGATTGTCAGCGTTAGTGTTTGATCAGTTAATCCTTTTTTCTGGTTCCGTTAGGAGTTCGTATTGGTGTCATTACTTCTGATTACAGGATGTTTTTTTGCATTGCATGTGCAACGGTTCACAAAAGCACAGGTTTCCAAAATAATCGCCGAGACGTGTTTTGAAATACTTCACAGAATCGGTCTTTATTAGTCCTTCTGGTAGTGTATTCCAGAAGTTCATGATTCTTCGTTCTATAGAAAGTTGATGTGATATCCTGTTCATTCAGGGGGCCCTGAGTTTGCAGTAGTGTTCTCGAGTGTTACAGGGTTCCAGCAGGTGAGATATTACGGCGGAGGTGAAATATTGGCCGCGGTATGTGGAAGTGTTTCAAGTGTAGTAATCGATGGGTCATAATAAGGTCCATTCGTAATCGGCGGCAGGATAGTGTGTAGAGTTGGAGCCTTTCACAACGTTTTTCATACGGAGTCTTTCGTAGACTGGGTAACATTCTAGTTACGATGTACTGTATTTTCTCCAGCTTTTCAGTTTTCCATTGGGCAATCGGATGGTAAGCTGGGGCGCCGTATATAAGGATTGATTTGAAGAGCGAGGTGAATTGGCGAGGGACAGTCTCCTCAGACGGTGTGCAGAAACTGCGTCTTAACGCCCAGAGCATACGAAGTCCCGCACGGTACAATTTCTCTGGATTTTCTGGCGATCTCATATGTCGTGAGAGCACTCCTAAGTCTCTGACAGATGTATTGGGGTGGACCAACTGGCCGTCTAAGGTGTATGATCGAGTGGCTGGACGTCTGGTGATACTGATGAACTCCAATTTGCTTGCGTTAAGAGGGAGTTGCATTTCAGTGGACCCCGTTGACTGTCGCTCTAAGTCATGCTGGAGGCGAGCGCAGTCGTGCTGGTTCTCAATGATCCTCCAGATTTTCAAATCATCTGCAAACAGGGCATATGGCGACTAGAGTTGCTGTGGAAGATCGTTGATATGAATACGAAATAATACTGCTCAATTACAGTTTCTTGAGGCACGCCACTAGTCGATTGGAACCAGTCTGTCAGGTAGTCATTGACCTGCACTCTAAACTTTCGTCGCACAATAAACTTGTTTAACCAATGAAGTAGCGTGCCACCGATTCCGTAGGTCCTCACTTTACGAAGGAGTACCTCGTGGTTCACTTTATAAAACGCATTACTAAAGTCGATGTACACCACGTGAACATCCTTTGGTTAGCTGAGAGCTAGTACCCACTGGCGATTTGCGTAATCAAGTTGGGGATGCAAAATCGCCGTTTCGTGAAACTGTGTTACGCTGGTGTCAGTAAGTCCGAAGAACGACAGCGGGCACTTTTTCACAACGTTCTCGAGAACTTTGGACAATATCGAAGTCAAACGGATCGGTTTATAGTACTCTACTTTACTCGGGTCACTGTCCTTGAGATGAGTTCACACTACCGAGCATTTCTAATCATTGGGGACAGATTCTGCAGAGCTTGATTTATTGAGCTGGTTTGTCACGGCTGGTGAGATGACATTCGATAGGTACTTAAGTATTAGTGGGTGAAGTCCGTCTGGTTTGGGAGCTTTGCACCATCGAGGTTGACGAGTAGCTGATACACTTCGACTGCATCACATTGTAGACTATCGAGCAAGACTGGCGCAACCTATGCTGGTACTAGGACGGCCGCCGGTTTACTGGAAATTACGGTGAGGAATTGCAAAGCCAAGGGATCCGCGTGCTCCACGCTTGAAATGGGCGTCTGTCTCTTCAAGGTCTCTAAAGCCGGTAGATGGCCCACAGGTTGCAGTTGACATTTCAAGTAGGCGAATATTATCTTGGGGGCGGTTGTGGCCGAGGCTGCTAGCTCATCTTTGAACTGCCGGTGTTTCTTGGTCTTTGCGACGTTACAAATGTAATGCTGTTTCCTGTATATCGTGTAATCTTCATCGCAACCCGAGATGATGTATCTATCCCAAATTTTGCGACGCCGTGGAGCTAACTGTTTACATTTCTTAACAAATCAATGCGTTTAGACAGATCCGACATTTGAATACTTCAGGGGACCGAAGCGAGTTCACATCGGGTTAAGTCTCCTCTTCCTTAATGACGAATAGGCCTTAAGCAACACATCCTGTGGTAGTGCCCAATCAGTCTGACTTGCGGTTTGGACAAGCCCGATAAAGTCCGTCTCCCAGTAGTTGAACATCGGCTTCCTTTGGTTGTAGCATGGTAACGGTAGTTCTATACTTGCCACAATGGAGCAGTGGTCACTGTTCGCTGGAGGTTCGAGGACTCTGACCTCTTTCACATTCTGCTCGCCGCTCGTAAATATTAGGTCCAAACAAGATATTGTGTGCGGACTTATGCGCGTCGGTTGGACGGCATATTTTGTTGCGTCGAGTTAAATAGTCATTATAGCGAATCGAGCCTCAATGTTGCCATGACCGGAAAGAAGTCGAACGTATGGACAAAATATCTTAGGTAAATTTAGAACTGAAATTAGAACTGAAGGTGGCTCATGTGCTTCTGTACATGTGGTAGCCAATGACAACAACGGTTTAATGGGTTACGGAAGATAACACTCACTATTAATTCGGCGCGCCTGAGGAGGATTGGGCATCACAATGGCTCGCATAAACTATCCACGCCCCGATAGGTGCTGCTAAGTTCAGCAGTTAGTGAGGATTTGAGGTGCAACAGAACATCACCGTTCGCCTTTGATTTTCGGTCGCATCTGGAACAAGAATAACCTGACAAGACGACTAATCGAGTATGATGTCGAAGTTCAACCAAGTCTATGCAAGTCCTAAGACGTCCGGCCGCTCCGAGACAGTGAAGCGGCACAGTTCGCCGTATTTGTTCATTAGGTTTCACAAGTTGCCGAAGGTCACGCAGAAATTCCGGGAGGTACCACGGAACGTGCCTGAAGGTTGAGCAACCGGTTGATACGGGTTCGTAGACCATTCTTGATCACCCAAAAATTTACAATGTGCAAGTCAGTCTCACCTGCTATAGGGCGTTTGATCTCAATGACCACAGTCTTCAAACGATCCTTGACTTCGGGTTCAAAGCCTCGGCGAATATGAACCTTTAAGTCTTTCAGCTTTGACGGACGAGAGAGAATGAGCTGCGTCATATTGTGATTTGCAAAGGTAATTCTCAGAGGTCGACATGACTGGTTAGTTTGCTGGCCAAGTCGGACTACTTGTTTAATCGTCACACTGTCTTCATCTACATCCAACAGTCTATTGAGGAGCCTCTGGAGGAACTCAACATCGTGAGTATAACGTAGCTGAGGGTTTTCATCTTTGGACTCTGGTGCGCGGAACACCATGAGATTATGACACTTAAGTGAAATCGGCGATGAACCTGTGGGAGCAGGAGTAGTGGCGCTTATCGGTTTGGGTTGTTGTTTATCAGCAGGGGACGCCTGAACTCGATTACGTGGCCTCTTGCGCTTTTGAGTGGTCCATGAATTCTCGGTGTTCACAGACAAGCGCTGAGAAAATCACGGACCAATCAGTGAAGCGGCATTTCGTAAGTTCTGAGTATGAGTCTTCAGTCCTTGGGAAATATTGAACCGGAGGCTCGACCGTGGACGAAGACGCTAGTGGTGGTGCAGCTCGCGGAGTGCCAGAGGAAGGCGAGTTGACAGAGGTACTTTCAAAAGAACGTTTGACCCCATGAGGCGAACGATGTGTTTCCACCTGTAAGAGAGGTTTTCCTGCAGTTGTTGGCGGTCCCTGTGTATTCAGATGTCTTGAACCGCGACATTTATCACATATAGCTTTGAAAAACTGATGTCGGATGTCGAGCGACTTGCCAAAGACGTCAACGTATAAGCCAATGTACGAAATATGGAACAAAACATCGCACCTGAAGCACCGAAGTGCATGAGCCTTATGTCCAACAACTTTCAAACACGAACCGCAAGTAGCTTGAGAGGGCATCGCAAGGTAGAAGAAATCCAAGATTGCGGACACAGACGGCAGTTAGGACAATCAATAAGATCTCCGGAATTAGCCCGAAAATATCCACCAAATGTGCAGAGATTGAAAAATACATTAAGAGAAAAACATTGGTACACGATTCATACAGAAAAAGACTTATAACACCGTAATCCGAAGCAAAAGTAGAATCCAGCACACGGTGATCCAAAAATCCGCTGCGTCCGTGGGTACAGCCCGGCTTTGTGACGTAAGCCGTGGTCTAATGCGCCACATGTTAGACGTAAACAGTGAATGGAAGGAATCAAGCAACAACCCCAAGAACAAGAACAATAACAACAACGATAGACGAATTAAATCACGGTACTGACAAGTCAGTCAAAACAGATTATTCGCATATAACACCTGCTTTCAGGCAATAGTCGAGTTGATGTGATACTGTTGCGGGTGGGCTATACCAACAACAGTAAGCGCAGGCCGTCGGTGCTTGAGATTCATCCCCAAGTAAGGTACCGGGTATAGCTGCACCCGAGATGAATGTTGGCAAAGCACTTGCTTCTCTAAAAACGTCACCTTAACCATTGGCTTCATAAACTTCTAATCGTTGTAAGAAAGTCACACGAGGTGGAG